AGAAAATCCAGATAGCCAAAATAAGAAAACAATAGCTACTGGAAATTATTTTGCAAATGGATAACACTGTCAAACTTTTTTGCTTTATTGATTTCCCCGAATATTCTTGATTAGGTTCTTAATATGATTTGGAAACACTTGCAGATTGTATAAGTTCAATGGTTATGTGAGTTAAATGAATATTTACAACAAAAGGAACCCATTTCTGAAGTTATGTGAGAAAAAGTCAAGGTCTGTGATTTTTATAATATCAGTGTATCTTTTCCCAGTTTTTTTTTTTTACATTAGATTATGGCCCAGCCTATCATTTGACAAGTACTGCCCAACCCCGCCTGATTCACAAGACCTTGGTTATGAGTGTCTGCATTTATACAATTCGGAATTCATGGAATATGCAAATAGGGAAATGCAGGAAGATTAGCTGTCTTGTCTTGTATCACCACAAAGAACATCTATATTTATATCCCACCCAAAACTCCTACCCAAAGTGACTGCCTGGTAGTGTCAGAGAGAAATCATTTTAGAGAAAATGCCATTTAAAATGTGTGTATCTAACTTTTATACTATGAGACATCATCTTATTATATATATCGAAAACTTTCTTCTAAAAAAAAAAGGAAAGAATAGGGGCAGCTGGGTGGCTCAGTGGGCTAAATGTCTGACTTGATTTCAGCTCAGGTCATGATTCTCAGGGTCCTCAGATGAAGCTCCATGCTGCGCTCTGGGCGTGGGGCCTGCTTAAGATTCCCTCCCTCTGCCTTCCCGCTGCTTGTGTGCATGCTCTCCCCCTCTCAAAATAAATTACATGAAAGAAAGAAAGAACAGAGAGAGAAAGAAAGAATAAAGGGTTTTCTTTTCCTTCAGGAGAACACAATGATTAGGGCCACATGCTCCTTGGTCAGTGTTGAAGCATTCACAGGTTCACACTGGCACTGGGAGAAAGTGGACAGAGAACTGGCCCAGCCCCCATAGCAGCCTTGTCCTAGGTGCCTCACATAGCACATGATGGGTGGGTATCAGCCAGTCTCTGGCTTTTAGATGTCAAGAATGTCCTAACTTTCAGCAAAAAATGCTTGGAATTTTTATATTATCAACTAACACTGATATATTTACCTAAAATATACGTGTTTTTGTGCATATATACACATGGATACATATATATGTGTATATACACACACACCATTTTTGTAAAATACCTTTTTTTATTTTATTTTTTTAATTTTTTTATTTATTTATGATAGTCACAGAGAGAGAGAGAGAGAGGCAGAGACACAGGCAGAGGGAGAAGCAGGCTCCATGCACCAGAATCCCGACGTGGGACTCGATCCCGGGTCTCCAGGATCACGCCCTGGGCCAAAGGCAGGCGCCAAACCGCTGCGCCACCCAGGGATCCCTGTAAAATACCTTTTAAAATGCTACATTTAAACTCAGTGTTGTCAATAGGAGTTAATTCTGCCTCCCTGAGAGTATTTGGCAATGTCAAGAGATATTTCTGCTTGTCATGACTGGGGATGGCACAGCTAATGGTATTTAGCACGTATAGAGTCCAGTGATGTCACTAAACATCCTACAATGGACGAGACAGTCCTCCCAAACAAAGAATTATCTCGGTCCACAAGGTCAGTACTGTCAAGGTTAAGAAACCATCAACCATCATAGTTTGACACCTTGTATATAATCTCTACTTGTTCTTGCTTGCAAATTTGCTTAATGCCAAGTAGAAATCTTAATCTTACTCAGTTCTCAGAAGATGGTGTTCTGATTTATGCTGGGTAACCTATTTAGTATATTATATCAATATAGTATATTGATTTCACATTTGAAAAGTCTCTGGGAGGACTCTGTGTTGTGTTCCATTTTGTTTTGTTTGGGCTACATTCTGCTAGTGTGCCATGATGTCCTGTTAGCTTCCTTAGGTTAGTAAGAAAGCTTTCTCTCGCAGCCCTTTCTATCCTAAAAGTAGCAAAACTACTCTTCTGATTCTTTACTCATCTCTTTCATCACACACATCACAATGTTTATGGTGAGGCCAAGTCAAAGAGAAAGGCCAATATAATGCACTGTCCAGAAGCCAAGAGAGGTTAAATCTTGCTTATTCTGCGTGAGATTATGAAAAGTTTACATTTATTAAAATCTACTCAATCTAAAATAAAGGCAGAGTTGTTAATCTTTGTGTTACCAAAAACAGGTGAGTGTTTTTACCTTCATTAAATTCTAGATAGGTATTTGCTTCAGAGTATAAATGTGCTTATACTCCGAAAGGCTGAATATCACAATGGATAAAACCAATAACCAGGGGGGTCATGGAAACATTTTAAGATTAAACATAAGTGAATTCTGTATAGCTCAAATGAGAACATCTAATTAGCCCTGAAATCGAAAGAAACCAAATAAAAGATTTAGTCTAATCATCCCGTGAGATATTCATAATGCCTTTACATTTTCCCCTTGTACCGAGTCTAAAGGCATCCAACCTCACTATTCAATGGAAAAGATAATTACTGAATGGTTATTACTAATGATCAACATGACAAAATAATTTAAATAAGATACGGCATGCATAGCTTTTCAGTATTTGCCCTACAATTTAATTCATCTACATCCCTTGCACACAACTGACTGGAAAATGTGTACTTTACTCAAAAAAAAAATCTTGCAGAATTTGAATACAGGCCAGTATCAAATGGAACAGCTTTGCTACTGATGGGAGATAGTATCACATGTGGAGAAACCTTGTTTTGTTTTGTTTTTAACCTTAAAATAACTGTGGACATATTAAAGAAAATGCATTTCTCAGTCTCAAATTCAACAGTTATATTTATGACATTTACATAGGAACCCATGTCCTATCAATCCTTGTTTTATTTTTCCCTCTGGTCTTGGTTTTCTCCTTTATCTCTATTCTTCATGCTCCACATTATGGACCAGAGTGTAAGCACTGATTCAACCAACCACTTATTGAGTAGAGAAAAGGCCAGAGGTCAAACTAACAAGCCATCAGAAACCACAATTAATTTTTCCTGAGCTGCCAATGACTCGGACCCTGGTGTAAGATCAACGTTCTCCCCTAATTCTTTAACAGGTAAAAAGAGTCAGAACTTTACAGATGTTCTAATTAAGTATCCCCATAATAATATACCAACAACTGGTTTATAACAGACAACCTAAGGTGCTTAGTAAAAGTACAGATTTGTGGACCCTCCTCCCCAGACCTCCTGATTCACCAGGAATGGAGCAGAAGCCCAGGAATCTGGGTATTATACAGGAAGGCCGTGTATTAACCTTGAGTAATGTACGCAAGGGTTTATAACACAGGCTTTGTGTGATGCAACTTATATTTTCAGTTCTGATACTGGCTCTGCAGCATTGCAGAAGTTCCTCAACCTGACTAAAAGCATTAGTTTGACATCTATAAAATGGGAGTAATGAGGTCAATCTCTCATTTGTTGTTAACATTAAAGCATTCATGTACAAGGCTTAAGACAGAATTAGTACATGATCAATCGTATACCATAGTAGTAGCCACGATTTTCAGCATCATCATCACCTTTCTGTCCCCATTAATCTTTGTACACTTATTTTTGGGAAACACAGCAGTTCTAGAGGAAATAAGGTGAAACCTTTAGCTTTTTTTTTTTTCATTTTAGAAGACCTCGTCAAAATCAAATGTACTGCAATAAAGGCATGTGTATTAAGTTACCATTAAGTTTCTTTGCTTTTGAAAAAAAAAAAAGTTGCTTTGCTTTTTGGCAAGAATATTTCAGCTGCATGTGGTAACATCCTCATGCTGCTCTGAAGCAGAACTCGGCTCCTTATCCTAAAGGATAAGCCTTTAATAATTAGATATTATTTAATAATGTGACAATTTGTTGATAGTATCACAAAATATGGCAACAATGGCACACACACTGTTGATTTCCTTTTTGAATAATTTATGTAGATTTTGACAGGTTTCTTAAAGGATCAGGCTGCCTTGTAAATGTACAGGCAGCACAACGTAATATGTTGGACAATTTGGGGTATAACAGGCTCATTAAAACAATGAAACCTTTAAACATGAGAGAACAAGGAGCTTTGCTTAGATCTCTGGCATTAGATGAAGACATCTTCCCCCTCATCAAATAATAGGAGTAATGATGACAACATTGCATTTCCATCTTTCTATGCTATTCTGTGATAAGTGTCAAGTGTGACATGCCCTTCTGAGAAAAATACAGTACAATGGTTTTACCCTAATAAAAATTCATGGACAAATACACTGAAATATTCAAGTTTATATGGCACAGACCTCTTGCTTGCATTGATTACAAACACAGGCACACTAACACTGAACGTCAAATTTCACTTAGACAAAGGTGGGAGGACTTCTTCCGTTAATAACAGAGCTGGATTTCACCAAATAGCACCAAGTGTAAACACGACATTTACTGCAAATAGAAAGGGGTCATAATGGAATCTTACCAACGCTAACCGGCTTATATTATCAGGCCCGCGAATGATAATGTTTGTAATAAACCAATATTACAATAAAATTCCAAGCACAGCCATAAACCTGCTGCTGGAGTTATTTAACATGCTTTTACACAAGGAGCATGTGGTCCTAACTTAGATTCCTTTGATGCAGCAGGTTGTTAAGGCTCCAGTGGTTGCATGTGATGTTACCCAATAGGTGATAAGTGGGGCAGGTCAGTTCCTCAGGCTTTGTCCCCAGCAGTGAAAACGCACACTGCACGCTACGGCGGAGAAAAGAGTGGACCTGGCTAAATTAGACACGCTGGAGGGAGGGCAAGTGAAGTCGCATTTTCAAAGGGAAGATGCCTATTATGCAGTAATCAAAAGGTGCCCAGTTTGGGAGAGGGACATCCACCATCAACACATGGCATATCAAGTCAACCCACAGGACTACACCTAGAGAAAGAGACCCATTCTCTCTGAAAATCGGTCTCCACCCCCTACCCCCTACCCCCCCCCAAAAAAAATAACAAAGCAGGCAAGGTTACCTTTCTCACAGTGGCTTCCTGTGAATCCAGAGGGACAGACGCACTTGTTAGGAGACACACAGCTTCCACCATACCTGCAGCCCTCTTGACAGAATGCTGTCACCAAAAAGAAAAAAAAAAAAAAAAGATTTCTCTCAGATGTCAATAAGGAAACTCGTGAACAGTGTGAATACAACCAATTCTTTCTTTGTTGCACCGGATAATACATACTCGCGGTAAAAGTTTAAGTTTCGGCATACCAAAAGAAATAAATGTAGTGACACCTATTTCACTAGTTTGCATGAGATCATTTGAAATAACAGATATAAAGTATTGAGCACAGGGCTGGCATGTGCTAAGTAGTGGTTAGTTTGAGCAGCTAGTGCTCTTGCTGATACACTATTGATATATTTTAAGTCAAATTGGATAAATTGAGTAACTAGAAAGGATAAGGTAGGATGTAAAGGCAAAGGCATTTTAAACACTATTTTGTAACTACTCTTAAAACATCTTTTTTATAATAAAAACATTTTTAGGGGCACCTGGGTGGCTGAGCGTTGTGTGCCTGCCTTCAACTCAGGGTGTGATCCCGTGGTCCGGGGATCGAGTCCCGCATAGGGCTCCCTGCATGGAGCCTTTTTCTCCCTCTGCCTGTGTCTCTGCCTCTCTGTGTCTCTCATGAATAAATAAATAAAATCTTAAAAAAAACATTTTTACATTACTTTACAAGATTTTGGGCAATCAATACCTAATTATTTTAAGTATTTATTTATTTAGAAAGCACGAGCAGGAGGAGGGGCACAGGGAGAGGCAGAGAGAATCTCAAGCAGACTCTACACTGAGCATGAGTTGGACAAAGGGCTTGATCCCATGACCCTGAGACCATGACCTGGGCCCAAACCAAGAGCTGGACATTTAACTGACTGAGCAACCCAGGCCTTCCAGGTAGTTGATATAATTTTTGATAAGGCATATTTAACTAAGCACTTACTTCTGAATATTTAAGATGTTTCCAACAATTCTTTAATAAAACAAATCCTTGTCCTTATAAGCTAAAATGCTTAACATACCTCAAACTATTCCTTTAGGGGAAATGCTGCAATGTGAAAATGGAGTCTCAAAGGGTATGGACTTCGATGAGACCTTTGATAAGCTTCAAAAAATTATCCCAACCCCGTCTCAGTGCTACCTTGCTAGCCTCTAAAACAAGGTTAATTTCCCATATTACCTATTAGCACAATGTAGCTCTGGGAACCTCTCCTTTGCAGTATTAACTACCATTGTTTATTTATCTATAGTTGATTACCATCTTCCATTTTATCCATTGGACTGTAAGACCCAACAGGACAAGTAACTGTGATTGTTCTTGTTCCCCATTGTACCATAGTTTCAGAATCTAAGCACACAGTAGATGCTTCAAAATAGTCGAACAAATACGCCTGTATTTTGCAGATTATTCTCATTGGAAAACTCTTGTTCTAACAATTCTTCAACATTTCCATGTGGAATAAATTATCAAGCCTTGCAGGATAACCAATAATTTAGTCTACCAAAACTGCAAAATTTCCCATTAATGAAGATGATTGCAACTTGTTACCGCAGAGTGTGTTTTTTTCATTCGCTGAGTAAATGTTTTAAATTGCAGGTAGAAAAGTGTCACACTGGAAAGATGCCATGGTTCTATTTTGCCATCGTCACATAAGTAATATATGTTTAACTTTAAAAAGCTACAGAACATCTTTGGATAGATGAACACTAGTTCAGGTACACAGAACTTCTCACGATATTTGTCATTTTCCACATAATTTAATATCCCCTGGATAATTAAACATTCTGTAGCTTAGTAATTAATTGTGAGCTCCTTTGCATCTGCCAGAGAACAGGTATTATATACCTTGCTATTCAAATACCATTTCCCGTTTTCCAGCGTCTTACCACCCCGAGACTATGCAAAAAACATTTAGACAACATCTGTCTTGCTATGTTCATCACAAGCCAATATGTATATAAGTACAGGCATACAGATGTATACAAAAGATTTTGCCCCCAAAATCACACATCTGTGCTCTGATAAGTGCCATTTCCAGTAAGGTATCTAACATATAGGTCTGCATCAAAGCTGGTAACGAAAAAATAATGTTTTGCAAGCTGAAAATGACAGATGGAATGCTGGTCAGGAAACGTTTCAAGTGACCCCAAAACAAGACAGGGGTTTGGAAGCAAGAAGCTCAGCTTGGGTTTCTTTAGTGAAACAAATAGCACTTGATCCAGAACTGTGTGCACATAAGCACACACACGTATACACACAAAGCAGCAGACTCATAATATGTGTGTGTTCCTGATTTACTCAACTCTGAAAAAGAAATGATAGAGATTTTGTGAAGAAAGCATGAGATGTTTGTGATGTTCTAAGAATGCAGACGTCATAATAAATATGGTGCTACGAGGATGAGATGAGTTAATATCCAAAAGGGCCTATAAATAGTGTGTGGCACATAGTATTAAAGGAGTATCTTGTTTTTTAAACAAGAATCTTATTAAATAAAATTGTTGACAGCAATAATGTTATAGCTGTGAAGCATGGGCCAAGAACAAATTGTCTAAGACCCAAACAATATAAACAAGGTGTTCAGCTTCATCAAGAGAGGTGAAAGGCATCCCTTGTTATTTATGTTTTCATTTCTAAAAATAGTAGAATGGCCCTTATCATGATATTATTAGGTAGGTGTTACTGTTTCTTTTACCAAAAAGGTGAAACTGGGGCTTGAAAATGAAGTACCCCCTCTATGGCCATACAGGTAGCAAAGCAGTAGAGCCAAGAATCAAGCAAAGACTGCTTTGGCTACAAAGTCTTGCCTTTTCTTTTCTTTTCTTTTCTTTTCTTTTCTTTTCTTTTCTTTTCTTTCTTTCTTTCTTTCAGATTTTATTTATTTATTCATGAGAGACAGAGAGAGAGAGAGAGAGGCAGAGACACAGACAGAGGGAGATGCAGGGAGCCTGGCGTGGGACTCGATCCTGTATCTCCAGGATCACACCCTGGACTGAAGGCGGCACTAAACCGCTGAGCCACCCGGGCTGCCCTTGACTTTTCTTTATAGGTTATAGTGCAGGTTAATCTGCAATCTGGTATTCCCATGGGCAGCTTTCTTCTTTTCTTGAGGGTAGCTCCATAAGGGCTAAGGAAATATGAGTTGAAAGAAAAAATATATGTCCAAATTGCGCATGAGGCATGAAAGGAGGGGGGCAGGGAGCTGCTCAAGTTCATGTACGTCTTATCTAATCTCCATTTTTGACTGAGTCGAGTTACAATTGACCAAATCCAGGCACGTGTGATTTTTAAATGGAATTTATCTGGAAGAAAAAAGAAATTCATTACCTACTTGAACCTCAGACTATGACAGAGTAATTTAAAACACAAAAGCAAATAAAGAAGGAGCATGCCATCCAAAATTGAAACTACGTGAAATCAAGATCAATGAAAGTTTTGTTTGAATACCTTATAAGACACCAAAATCCACTAGTATCCTACATGAAAGGTTGTAAGTAGATTATTTATATCTGGTTCTTCTTGATCAACCATCAACCTAGCATTTCAAAGAAAACAATTCTGATACTCCAAGGACCTACAGTTTTGTGCAGCATTACTTAGTTGACAGCATAACCAAAACAAGAAGACAAGTCACCATTGCACTTTTTCCAGTTTATGAGAAGATAGGATGAGAGAACTGCATGGCTCAAATCCTTGTTCTATATTCTTACCTGTGTCATGTAGAGCAAATTAGTTCACTCCTGTGATCCTCAGTTTTCTCAAGAACAGAGCAATGATGATGATAACACCCATGCCGTGCAGGTTAAATTAGATTACCAATGTAAACCACCTAGCACAGGGCACTGCAGGTGTAATGTGCTCAAGAACTGGATTTGACTATTATTTATCACCAGGATCCTATTTTACAAAATAACAATACTATTATGCGCCAGTTTTTGTGCTAGATTCTGGAGATGTGGCAATGAATGAGACAGAAAAGATCCCTATGCAATGGAGCTTATTCTTTAATGAGGGCTCAATGTCACTCCTCCCTTGACTTGATAAGCTTAGTAATATCATGTGGTTTGCAAGGGAACTTGGAATCATAGCTCCTTTGTAGACTCGGAAAAACTCAGGCATCATGGGCATGTTGCTCTTTTGTCAACCACTTTCCTAATTCCTAAGCATGGCTTGAATAGCTTGCAAATATACAATGAAATTATAAACTTGAATCTGTCATCACAGCGTCATTTGTTATTAATGCACTACCCCGGGGGAGATGTTGCACTGGATCAACTCTGAAACGGTATTATTCTGTTTTTGAAAAGACTCTTTGCAACGTGCAAGAAAATAAACTCACAAAACTCAAAATTGAAGGAGCATTTATCCACAGAAAGAGTATTTGTTTTGTATTAAAAAATTCTCAGCTTGTGAAACTAAACTTGGGCATTAAGGGTAACAGAATGAGAATGTGGGTTTGCAGATGCCAGTTTGTAGACTCCCAGTATCATCATCATGTGTTCAATGTGACAAACACAGTTTTACACTAATAAAAAAGGGACAACCATTCAAAGTTCTAAACACGTTGCAGGATCCTCTTAAAGTTTTATGAGCACATATTTAGTTTCTAGGGATACCCAGTATCCTGCCAAAATATAAGAAAACATACGAGTGTCAGTACCATTTGATAAAAGAAAACCCTTCTCTTCCCTCCTGGTTTCCTTGAGGAAGCATTTTTCTTAACGTTTATTTCTTATCTCTCTTTGCTAATTTTGCTCATTCTACCTGTAGAGGTAGAAGCATTAAGTTCTATTGGTAAATTTGGGAAGACCCTGTACCAGGATGATGATTCTCAGGTAGGAGAAGCAGGAGACTAGGCTAGGGAGCACCATATATTTAAAAGTACATAACTGTGACATTTCTAGCTTTCTTTTGGATAATTACTTACTAGATGTGAATTACATTATTTAAAAACAACCACCAAGGTATCTAAATCAATGATAGCTGATCCTCATGGACTAATGATTACAGGGTGTCATGAATCAGATTATAATTGATCACGTGTACCTAAAATCCAAAAGGGGGAGGA